CATATTATGTTCAGTGCTGTCATTGTGTTCACTTCTTGTCGATGGGAATACGTCTCTGGCCCTCAATGGCCGGCACGGGAGCCTCCACTGTGAGCACACCATCTCTCGACAGGGATGAGCGGATCAGTTCTGGATTCGTCCCTTTGGGCAAAAGGAACTCTCGATTGTATTCTCTGTAAACACTTCTGTTGTCACTCTTCTCCTCGTGTTTCGCGTGAACCTAATTATACAACAAATACTCTATTACTATACAATCCATACCAATATATTCATACATATCTAATCATTGAGGCAATCATTCAAATGCACAAACATTGTGTAGTTTGTATCACAACTCCCACACTCACAACATTTGCATTCATAAGTTATTAGAAATAGTTTTTCAATCCAAAGCATGGGTTCATTGGAGGCAAACATTTCCTAATTTGGAAGAATATGTTCCTTAATTAGTTTGTATCACAACTCCCACACTCACAACATTTGCATTCATAAGTTATTAGAAATAGTTTTTCAATCCAAAGCATGGGTTCATTGGAGGCAAACATTTCCTAATTTGGAAGAATATGTTCCTTAAGTGCAAACTTCAAGTATTGTCACTCAAAGTGTGGGCACAACTCATTCCCAAATATATTTTGTTAACAACAAACATGTTATAATTTATTACTTGTCTTATACGACAATAATTTTAAATTAGAAAAATCATAGAAGTTTTCAATTTATTTACGGTTAAATATATTTTAGTGTTTTAGACTATCATAAGTGAAAACACATTTAAAACTCATATTTCGTGGGCTATTTGGTAGACATATAAAGTGGCATATGTTTTATATCATAATTCCATCACTTTTCAAATAAAAGCTTTAAATGACATGAAATGCAATAAAATCTTATATCAGTTAATAATTTACTCATTCATTCGCTAATCTTGTCATTGGTTTTATAGTCTTAAGAATTAATCACTTTTTGACACTCACTTGAGTTCCTGGCAATCAATTCTTTAAATAAGTCTTACATTTAGTATAAATACAAACATTTTATCTTAAGAACAAGTTTTCGTTGATTTGCAATAAAAACATATTTGAAATTTCTTCTCAATATTTGTCTAAAAATAAACCTTATTTTCGATTAAACCAACAAAAAGGAAAATTAATTAATTCAATGTTTTTTGTTTTTTTGCTTTTATTACTTTCATTAACTAATTTCCAAATTTGGTTATGAATTATAGATTATAAATGATGTAAATCAAGGAAATTCAGTAGATTTAGATTTTCATATGTATTTTTATAAAACTTTTTTTGAATACAATTTCTGGCAAACAATTATAGGTATGAGTAGAGGATTAAAAAATTCTTCACGTTTTCATATATGAATGAAAATAATTTGAAAACAATTAACAATAGACTCTCAATACAATATAATACAGTACAGTATATGAGATCATAAATTATTTTGTATTAATTTGAAAATATTTTTATGAGATATGTTTGACAGATGTTATGAAATACGAGGAAATATAATAAAATAAATGTTTTCAACAATTTTGAGTCTATAAAAATAGGTATAAATTACGAAAAAGTGTTACAATAAGTGAACAGTTTTTTGGGTTTGTATATTAAACAATTCAATTATTGTTTACAATACAAACGAATAAATAAATAATTTGTGCATTTAAGCAGATATTAAGTTTGAAATTTTCCAGTAATTATGGGAATTAGACATAAATAAACAACTGGTATAGGAATACGTGTTATTTAATATTTATTAGCTTTTATTGCTATCAAAACTATTTTCACTCAAAATATTTTATTACAATTAAATAAATTTTAAACTCATTGAACGTATGGGTTGTATACAGTATTGAGAGAATATTATGAAAGCAAGTTCTGTCGGAAATTTTATCTTAAATTCTTTGAACTCATTTCATATGCTGTCAAGAATTGCACCAAATATTGAGTTCAATAGAAATGTAGAAACAATAGAAAACATGAAAACATGAGCGCAAATAAAATCAATTCAATTATACGACTATTTGGGACAGAATTAGTGCAAAATCAGGCAAAACGCCAATCAGACAACACATGAAATACATGTCTCACTATAAATAAGACTTCTGTCACTGAGTTATGCCATTCAACACATTCTCCACATTCTGTGTGATTCACACCATTTACACCCTCTCTGTCCCCTCTATTGTCTCCTTATTTGCAACTATTTCTCATATAATTGAGATGATAATCGACTAAATACTACACAAGTATTGATTGAGACAATACTGAATACATAATTGATAATTGCATTCAAGGACTGGACGCCAAACTCCACCCTTCATTGAAGTCATTATTTAAAATAAATAACTTTTTTCAACGCAAAGCACTCAATGGATAGACATTTCGTACAAACAAATTGCAAACATATAGCCAATGGTCTAATGGTCTCATGAATGGCTGTACAGTACTGTACTGTATATGACTGACTGGTGGCATACCTGAAGTCTGTTGTCGACAGTCTTGACGACAATCTCTTCGGGCGCGTATTGGGTGACATCGAAACGGAGTTTCAAGACTTTGCCGTCTTTGGAGTCCTGAATGAGTGGTGAGTTGAGGTCATCCAACCAAGAGGTCAGTTCCCGACCCTTGGAGTCGCGCACATCGGATGCCGAGCTCGTCGAGTGTGAGGACCTCTTTTCGGTGACACTCGACGTGTAGTTGGGGCCGAAGAGTGAGCTCTCTTTGTCCATGAGTTGACCCCTGAATCGGTTCATCTCGTCCTCCATCTTCTTCATCTCACTCTCGAATCGGTCGCGAATTGAACTGAACTCTGTGTCTATGAGGTTGTTGTCTGACCGCAACACCGGAACCTTCCTCTCGGGTGCCATCGCTAAGCAATCACTTCTTGAACCACAACAACAGATAATATATCAACAGATCTGAGATATCCTCAGGAAGTGAATCCAATTTCCAAAACTGTGATCACAATTGGAAACTAATATCCAATGAATTGAATACAACTTGTGATGAGAAAGTGGTGCTCAAGTGGTCTGTGCTTTGGATCAACTGTTTGTGACACTAATTCAACGCAAACACACTTTTATACAAAACTTTTGCATTCAATTGAATAGTGAATTAAATCGTCAAATGAGTTGTGATTTGCTGTTCACTTGTGTGGAGCTTTTGAAGGCTTTATCCAAAACAGCAAACATTGCATTCAATCCAATGTGTTCACCTCTCAACCAATGCCAGCACGCGATGACGAGACCATTGCATCGACTTTCCAAAGCAAACCAATTAGCCCTCTATCCCTGAATCACTACATTCACTGTATTTGCGCTTTTAGGCTATAATTCATATATTTTTGTATCGCCAATATATTTTATATCCAAATTCCTTCATTTTCATGCAAATTATTTTTATTTCATGTGAATATAATTTAAATATTCTTCTATATTTAAAACATGTTTAGTCTGAACGCGTGTTTAAAGAAAGTACTTCGAGATTATGTTAAGAAATGCATAACAAGTAACATATTGACTGAATGTTAAGCATATTATGCACTGAAATGTATACAAAAAACTGCTATTGAATTAAGTGTTGGCACAGAATTCCGCACTTTCGAGAATACTTTCAAAACTTGTTTTTTCAATGAAATTAATGTATAAAAACTTATTAATACAGAAATCACTTGTTTTTGATTTTCCCTTCAAAATACACGCAAATATTTCTAAATTTGTGTTTTGCATTCATAATCACTGCAATACATGTTATGAAATGCTCAGAATATTCTCGATTTTTTTGGTGAATCATTCATTCATTAATTCTGAGTCAATAAAACTTTAAATATTTGTTTGGCAATTTAAATTCAAATGTAATAATCATTTTCAATTAATTGGACTTATTTGGTATTAAATATTAAATATCGAGTCAATTGACTCAATGTTAAATAAAATAAAAAAAAACTTTATTAGAATTAAATATTTCAGTTATTTGTCATAACTTTTGAAAGAATTTTAATAAAATGAGACAAGAATTGAAATATATATTTAAATCAAGGATAAAAAATATATTCCTTAATATTATTCAGAGAAATGTTATATATTTTCTTTTGTGAAAATTTATATCAATATTTGACACAATATTGGCGGACGTCTCGCGGAGTGTTTCAGACAATCTTCATTAAAAATATGAGTTATAGAGCCATAAGAATTCATTATCAGTTCAAGATCTGCTATTTTGAGAGGATCTGGGTTTGGCTTTCCGAGTGATTTGTATTCTCCAATGGTTTCCTCACATATTCTCTTTTTAATCCAATTCCTATGCAATTCATTGCGGGTATAAAATAGCACTCTTTCCTTATTAGGAATTCATATAATACTCCAATAAAAGATTAAAATTCACATTTTAAATAAAATAATAAACTTGAGATAAAAAATTCATTATGATTTAGATTTGTAAAAATGATTCAAAATGGTTATAAATGATTCAGAAGAACATGGATGGCGAATAACTTTCACAATCACCATATCTGTACGAATAATATTCATAAGATTGCGTCTCGTAATTGTAATGAGTGGTCGGATTGTATCCATATACCGGCGCAGTACCCATACCTATGTATCTGCACGTCTGTAAAGTGAATTTTCCAACTTTTTTGCCAAAACTTTTATTTTTGTTTGACTTCTCATTTTTGGTTTCTTTTGGTTTTGGTTTGTTTTTGCAATTATTCTTCTGCTCTTTAGTGTCACTCTCGGAGTCATTGCTTCCATAATATAATTGTGAAGAGCTTTGCTGTAATAGCCATTTGGTCTCGTCTTTGGACTCACGTTTGCATCGTCTCCACAATGACTTCAATTTGGTTTTCACAGATTTAGACTTTGTTTTACTCTTTGGTTCGTTTCCATCGGAATTAGTGCCAAATCTGAACATATTTCGCACCTTTTTCTTATACGATCTGTCACTCCGTTTGTTCACATTATCTGAGTTATTCATATCAAAATTGGTGACCATTTTGTATCTAAATGATTGTATTCAAAAATCATACATAGATCAGCTCTAAATCATATGTAAAAGTAGCAGTTTTTCGACACAACTTATAAATCATTAAAAACTACAATCAATCAAAATATCATTTTATAATTTACTGACAAAATTCATTCACTAGACTCATGTATCACATAATATTAAATTAACAGTATTTTGTCGATTAGTTTAGTCTAAAAATGAGAAAAATGAGTGCACTTTTGCTAAAAACAATCATTAAAGTACTGATAAGAATAGCAGTGAATGAACTTTGAACTCATATTTAAGTTTAAGATAAGATTTAAGTTTTATTTTAGATTTTCAAATAACAACTATTGCTTTAAATAATTTCAACAAAATCCCTAAATATCTAAAAACAAAATAATTATTAAATTAATTATATTAAAAGAAATTAAATTAATTAAACAATGACTAAGAAATCAACGCATTTAGCCGTCTATTATCTGTTCCATCAGAGTTCTGGAGACTAATGGGATCTTCGATGACGGTTTTGAGGACTTCGAGGAATTTGGCGGCGATATCCTCCTCGATCACCCGACCATCAAACGAAAGGGTCACTCGAACCAAGTGTTGGGTGCGATCGCTCTCATCCAACACCAGTCTCGACGAGCCGATGGCCAGAATCGCCGATTGCGGCGGATTTATGACAGCAGTGAACTCAGAGACGCCAAACATTCCCAGATTGGATATACTGAACGACCCGCCAATGAATTCGTTGGGCTGTAGTTTGCCGTCTCGAGCCTTCGAGGCCAACTCTTTCACAGTGAAGCTGATTGTCTCTAAATCTAATTGATTGGCGTTTCGGACAATAGGAGTGATGAGTCCGTTAGGTGTGGCCACGGCTACCGATATATCAACTGTGGGCGACAACTGTATAGTGGATGTGCTCTCATTCCAGGAACTATTGATTTGTGGCACTTTCTTCAGAGCGATGGCCACCGCTTTGATTATGAAATCGTTGACCGAGACTTTAATTCCAGAGTTTTTGAGTTGTCTGCGGACATCGTTGACGCCATTCATTGAGAAGTCAATTGTCATATAAGAGTGAGGAGTAGTTGACTTGGATTGTGTCAAACGTTTGGCAATTGTTTTCCTCATATTAGACAACTCAATGTCAATGAATTCGGCGCTTTTGGACGGACTCTTAGTCTGATCCGCTCATCCCTGTCGAGAGATGGTGTGCTCACAGTGGAGGCTCCCGTGCCGGCCATTGAGGGCCAGAGACGTATTCCCATCGACAAGAAGTGAACACAATGACAGCACTGAACATAATATGTTATTATTAGATAAACCGATAAACAGTGCCATCGATTCTACAATTAATTATCGATTATGTCTTATAATAAATAAAACTTAAACACAGATCTTATTTGTATTTCACTAATGATTTACTCATTTTAAATGACACTTACAAACATTATGACTCACCATTAATTGCATATAATTTGTTATATAATTAACTTATTTTCTAATTAGAATTTTAATTAATTAATTAATTTTACGGTATTTTATCTTTTATTTTGTGGTCATTCCTGTAATTTCTAATTATTTAACAGAATATTATATAAATGTCTATTTGATATAATTGTTAATCAATAATAAAATCTAAAAATATGTTGCCGTAAACACCATAAATTGTTTCTATTATTATTCAATAACGACTTTTCACAAAAATAGATACCAATTAAATATTATCTCAAACAATACTATCAATCAATGAGTAAATGGAAAAATCTTTGGCTAAAAACGAAAAACAATTTCCATATTAACGACAAACTCATGCAAAAAGTCATTATACAGTAAAGTTAATAGAGAATTTGGTTTTAACCATAAGGTTATCAGGGTTTGTCAAAAACAGTCTAAAATCATGAGCCAATGTGAAAGTAAGCGAACAAATAGTGGATAGAATTAAATAGCGATTAAAAAGATTTTTGTGAAGTTTAAATGGATAAGAAAATTGAATTTTAATAAGAAAT